CCCGGAATACGAAACAAACGAAGACAGCAAAAAAATCGAATTTGAAATAGACAAATAGCCTAGCAGCAGCAAATAACAACAAATCGTTTATAAGTTCGAATGTTGCTACCACCAGTCCAGCCAGCTAGCCGATCATGCCTTCAAACATTCAGGAAAAAAGAACAACGAGAAAAAAACTTTGTCCATCGTTTGTGTGGTGGCCTAGCTGGGCTTCTTAGGTTCTAGTTGTTATTTTCCTACTTTGTTTGTCTTCCTCCATTTGCGCGGAAAAGAACAATTCTGTTGGCAATAAAAAAACCCCTCGATGAGATACAGGGTGTTGCACCTTGGAGAGGAAGCATTGCCGAACGAAAAATCATATCCACAAATATGGCAGCGGATTATTAGGTATTGGGAAAATCCACCAATGAACTGTTTTCTTCAGGCCCATGGCACTTTAGGTGAAAAGTATTTGTTTGCGCGCCTTATGCAGACTGTTTGACCCCTCGATAGCGGTTGGTATTGAATGGTGGGTGGGGGTGCTCCATTGAAAATTGCAACTGAATTGCAATTTGCATTTCCATTTCGAGACATGCGGAATTTGTTTTCTAACTGTCATAAATATGAGGAAATATCCGTTTGTGGCAACGGCAATTGTTGGCAGTAATTCAGCTGAGTTGGTTGGTGGCCAATGGAGGTGTCAGTGGCATATGAATGTTGTTATTTTGAATTAAAATTGCAATTTTTAAATTTATGGGACATACTCAATTTGCTACTAGAAGATTTCAATATTCCCCAGCAAATGTAATTATGCAATGGATTCGAGAAGAAAATTCAAGAAACCTCCAATTTGTTGGCTATGCATTGCAAAAATATTGAGGATCATGAAATCAATCTGCACATGAAGCGTACCTACACTACATATATTCACTACTACAGCACCTCCCACCATACTCAATAGGAATTTTTTAGACAGTCAAGCGGCGCTCTTGAAAGTATGTAAAGAAGAACTTGCCAAGTTAGGGCGTCTGATCAGAGTAACTCTTCCTTTAATCCCAGGTCATAAGCGGTTGGTAACGAAATAGCACACAAACTAAATAGAGCGATATCTGCCTGTAACGAACTTCTAAAGGTGTCAATTTCAAAATCAATGGGATTAGTTAAAGAGGATATCTTCGAATACTATCTTAGGCGGGATAAGACTGAAACTTGTAAAATATTAAAATCTACATGATCATATTACTTAAAATGTACAAAGTTCCTGATTAGCCAAACTCGGCGGAACGTGGCAATACTAATTTGCATAAAGGTAAATTTAAATTTAACTTTAAATAGGAATTTAAGTTGATTTTCTGACTTAGACGTTGTTGCGGTCTTGAAATTTGCTCAATTCATCAGCTCCCTCAATGCCTGTAGTAGTGTGCAGATTTCTCAGAGCTGTTATACACCTCAGGAGCCGCTTGGCTATTCACATAAATAGGTTTTAATTAATTCTTACTCTTTCAGGATCGCAAAAATCTCTGCTGTACTTACCATCCAACTCGTTGGAGTATGCCGTTCCTAGTTAATCACAGACTCCTGCTCCGATGCCTCCTTCCTTTTTTGACCCGTCTGTATACAGCAGACCGATTCCATGGAGATATGTAATCGCTGTTCCGTTCATAAGGTTCAATGGTTTAATTCAGCTTTCTAAAAGTCTAGCAAGCTGGCATGATCCTATCGTGTAGAGTGCAGCATACCATGCTCCGACAGCCTTGTGGCACTTGGTAAAGCCTTGAACTGTGTACTAAGTTCGACTGGAGCGATTTTACCATCACATTTAAGGTGGCTTGTGGTGAAATTTTTGATGCGCCTGTGATTAGAAATCATGCTGCTCGCGAACTATTTTCCTTGATTTTAATGCGCGCCACCAGACATGACTTCCATAGGAAAAACATTGACCAAATCACAGCTTTATACATCCAGTGTATGTTGGCGAGAGGAAGTCCTTAGTTCTTTCTTATTGAATTCTTGCAGGAGTAGAGGACAATAAAACTTTTCTTCATCCGTTCCTGAAGGTTTTTTTTATAACCTCAGCCACATGGCTAGAGAGGGTATATATCCTTTGATACAGCCAAAACGTGTCTCATCGAAATAACGGTTTTTGACCAAATCCGTTTCAAGGCATTTGAAGTCGATCTAGCGATTTTCGTACGTCCGTTCGTCTGTCTTTCTGGCTGGCTGGTGCGCATGAAAACAGCAGCAGAAATGTTTCGAAAAGTAAAGAAGCGACTTCATCGAAACCCGCGCCACAGTGGCCGAAAAATGGCTAGCGAGCTGAACATAACGCAATACTCCATTCGGCAAATATTGAAAAATGAACTCGAGGTAAAGCCATTAAAATTCCAAATAGTGCAAGAACTTACAACGCAACAGAAAGAGAATAGACTCGAAAGAGCTAAAGAGTTGCTTCGCTTGGCCGAAAGTGGTGAACTGCACTGCCGAATTTGGTTTTCTCCGATGAGAAAACATTCGTTGTCCAGCAGTTTGTAAACAAACAAAATGATCGTGTTTACTTGCGAAAGAGGTCAGCTGAAAATGTGCACCTTCGGTTGGCCACCAGAACTCAAGCGCGGGCATGGTGATGGTGTGTGCCGCCATAACAGCCAATGGTCGCTCTCCGCTCGTATTAAACGACCGTGCCATTAGAATTAATGCCGAATATTATCGCGAAAATATTGTGGAGGTTGTATTAAAGCCTTGGAAAAGCAAACATTTTGGCCGCAGACCTTGGGCATTCCAACAGGACTCAGCACCATCGCACTCAGCACGCGCCACCAAAGAATGATTACAAAATGAGGTTCCTCGCTTCACTTCCAGCGCACAATGGCCACCAAAATCTCCGGATACCAATCCTTTGGACTATTGTGTCTGGATTATTTTGGAAAGCAAGGTTGGCACTAAAAAATATCAAAGTGTCGATCACCTCAAACAAGCGCTTTGCCATAAATGGGCCAAAATTACGCAGAGCAACATTCGAGCAGCGTGTGACAGTTGAAGGCCATAATTCGTGCCAAAGGTGACCAATTTGAACAAATCTAAACTTATTCTAAAATTTGATGCTATTTCCGACATTTTTTGCTTTCACTCAATAAAATTTAAAAAAAAAATTAAATAATTATGGCGTTTGACTTTGATGCATTTTTTTATCCACCCTGTATATGCGCGAACCCCTTCTGGTACCTCTCCCACAAGGGTTACAAGTCAACGATTCTTTACAACTTGCTATGTCCAAATATTTCTCTCAACCGGAAACCAGAAATGAGATAGTCCAAACTTGGCACGACGAATGATTTATATCATATTTATTTATGACCGATACGAAATGGACAATATTGGCCCATTACTTCAGAACCTACTCCATAGAGGGTCAACAATTTGAATAATCATAAGAGGCGTTAAGATATATTTAAGCCGTCTGATACTTTTTAACTTGTTTTTGGAGTGGACCGATAGTGCCCATAATTAAATTCGACCTAACTTAGATACTAATATTATGAGGCACCTAGTTTGGATCAAATTGAAATAAAATAACTTACTCATGTTGGTTCACACAAATGTTTTACACCAACTGTATGTTCGGCCGGGCCGAACTTTGAATACCACCCACCATTTTCAACGATTTTTACAAAAAAATCAAATCAACGATTTATGAATAAAATCCTTAAAAAAAAATTGTTAAAATCTTAAAAATTCCGAACGTAGCCATTATATAAGGTCTATACGATGACGTGGACCTGCATAGGCAACCTTTGTCATAAGCAATTACAATATTCAAATGCGAAACTTGAAAAAATGGGCGAATAATGTAGCTAAAATTAGAAAAATACCGAATATAGGGAGGTACCGTTATATTGGGGCTATACGAAGACGTGGACCTGCATAGACAATTTTCTGTCATAGAAAATTAGGAAATAATAGGAACTTTATATACGAAATATGAAATAATTTTGGTGAAAAAATGTAGCCAAAATTATAAAAATACCGAATATCGGGAGGTACGATTAAATGGGGGCTATACCAAAACGCAGACCTGCACACACAATTTTCTGTCATAGGCTGTAGTATCCGTTACGAACTTTAACTACCGAATTTGAAAACATTTCCGGTGAATAATGTCGCTAAAAGCATCAAAATACCGAATATCTGGAGGTGCCGTTATATGGGGGCTATACGAAGGCGGAGACCTGCACGGAAAATTTTCTCTCATAGGCTGTAGTATCCATCAAGAACTTTAAAAATCTAATTTGAAACATTTCCGGTGAATAATGTCGCTTAAATCTCCAAAATATCGAATATCGGGAGGAATCGTTGTATGGGGGCTATACGAAGATGTGGGCCAGCACACACAATTTTCTATCATAGGCTGTAGTATCCATTACGAATTTCAAATACCAAATTTTAAACAATTCCGGTAAATAATTTTGCTAAAATCACCAAAATACCGAATATCGGGAGGTGCCGTTATACGGGGGCTATACGAAGACGTGGACCTCCACAGACAATTTTCTATCATAGGCCGTAGTTTCCATTACGAAATTCAAATGCCAAATTTGAAACATTTCCGGTGAATAATGTCGCTTAAGTCATCAAAATACCGAAAAAAGGGAGGTACCATTTATGGGGGTCATACCAAAACGTGGACCTACATGGCCCATTTTCAATACCAAAAGTCCTGTAGACATAACATACATACCTACTTCATTTCATTCGGAAGCTAGTGTGATTTCCACAGACGGACAGATGAATACGGACGGACATCGTTAAGTCGACAAAGCATTTTGTGCTGATCAAGAATATACACACTTTGTGGGGTCCAAAATGTATATTTCGAGGTGTTACAAATGGAATGACAAATTTAATATATCCTCCATACTATGGTGGAGTATTATACCCTCCATGGAGGGTATATGAAGTTAGGGCTTCTCATTACAATCGCAAATAAATATTCTTCCTAACTATTTTCTTTTTATCGTTTCAGAATACGAGTATGTACGGCCCATTACACATCGCGGTACATGCAGTGATGCCAATTGTAATTGACTGCAACACCAACAAAAACAACAACGACGGCGATGACAATAATAATATTTTTATTCCATTCAATTCAATTATCGATCAATTTCGCCAGAGCCTCGAAGACGCCGTTTGAAAGGTGTTGTCGGTTTCCATTGAAAATTTGCAAAAGAATGTGGCAGCCAATAAACAATCAACGGAGCGCACACTTCAGCCGCACCGCCTCCACCAATAAAAACAACAACAAACAAATAATGTACGGCAATTACCAACAGCAGAAATTAATTTGCAACTGCAGGTAAACAATTAATAAATATTTATTTTATTATTTTTATTTCATTTATATTGCATTTGGATTTTCTTAATCTTTTATTTATTATAAACTTTTCCATTCAGAATTTCACAATTTTTTTCTTATTTTGATATTATTGATGTTGTTTTTCTCAAAGATGTAGGATGTTTTGGTTAAACAAAAATTTGAGGAAAATTTATGTTTATTTAAATGGTTTTGGATGTTTTCCACAAAATTCTGTAAATTGTGTTTGGAAATTGCTAAACAATTTTAGCATGGGGATTTTTCCTAAATGTAATAATATTGAGATATTTCTTTAATCTTCTTTAATGAAATGAAAAATACAACCACCACAACCAAGTAATGGCATATAAAAATGTATTATCTATTAAAATTAATTACTTGTTTTCGTTATACTTTGGGGTTAATTGTTTAAAAGATAGCATTTCTTAATGGTGTGGTGTGAAATTATGCATAGCACTGCTTGACTCCCATGACCTACTAAATTAGTTTTAGCTAGTTTATATTCTACGTTCTGTTTCCCAAGATATACACAAATATTTCATATACTACAATATGTTCAATGTTCTGTGGCCTAATTATTTTTCTGACGTTAAATGGTTCAGATTCGAGTGAAAATTACCCTAAATTACCCTAACCTCAAAATACTTCAGTTGGAAAATCTCAAGATTGTTCCAAAAATAATAGTACAATAAACAATTTGATTTCTGAAATCCTTTTTTGGAAATTTCACGATTAGCCTCCGATCCAAAATAATTATTTGAACAATTGTTCACTGTGATCTTTTTAAATAGATCCTTGAAAAAACCATCATTTGGTCTAAAAAGAAATGCATTGAAAAATACACGATTTTGAACATCCTAAAATTGCAGAAAATACAAAATTCATTGAAAATATTCTCGTTGTTGTTGTTTACAAATACAAATATGCGTTTCGAACGACCTCTAAAATAAATATATAAAAAAATAAAAATAAAATATTCCGTAAAAAGTCCACGATTTTACCTTGGACATTTTTTAGGAAAAAAAAAGGTTTAAAGTATCCATTTTGGAAAGCAACGAACCTCATGTGGAGATTGCCGATCAAATTAGATCGTCTTGATTAAAACGATTATTTGAAAATTTCTCAAATTTGTTCCTAATATCCCCCGTAAATCTTTAATTATAGCCCTCACCATAGTATGGAGGGTATATTATGTTAGTCATTTGTAAAACCTCGGAATATACACTTAAAGTATATATATTCTTGATCAGCATAAAATTCTATGTTGATCTAACGATGACCGTCCATCTGTGGAAATTACTCTAGCTTCCGAAAGAATTGAAGAAAGTCGATATTTTTATACCCTCCACCATACTATTGAAGGTATATTAACTTTGTCATTCCGTTTTTAACTCCTCGAAATACCCATGTCAGACCCAACAAAGTATATATATTCTTGATCAGCGTGAAATTCTAAGTCGGTTTAGCGATGTCCCTCTGTCTGTTGCAATCACGCTATCTTTCGAACGAATTGAGATAGAAGAAAAGCATATATGCATAGTTTACCAGTATGCAGGTTAAGTTCGTAAATGGGCCATGTCTGTCCACGTTTTCGTATAGCCCCCATATAACGGTACCTCCCCATATTCGGTATTTTCATGATTTTATTTAAAGTTCGTAATGGGTACTACAGCTTATGACAAAACTTTTGTATTCAGGTTCACGTCTTCGTATAGCCCCCATATGACGGTACCTCCCTATACTCCGTATTTATATGCGACATTTTTCACCGGAATTGTTTCAAATTTCAAGTTCGTAATGGGTACTACAGCCTATGACACAAAATTTCGTAAGCAGGTCCACGTCTTCGTATAGTCTCCATATAACAGTTTTCATTTAACTGATAGTTTCCGGAAGTTTTTTGAAATTTTTCAAATTCTTTCCAAATGGTAGAGGGTATTAATAGTTCGGCCCAGCCGAACTTAGCTGCCTTTGTACTTGTTTTTTATTTATTTATTTTATTATTATTATTATCATTTTTTTTTTTTTTTTTTTTTGAAAATGTCACGATTTGGTTCCTTTCATTCTGCAAAACAATTTTTTGAACCATTTGTCTCCCTGATCCTTTTCCCTGAAAAATCTAAAATGTGGACCCCTATAAAAAATCCTTAAAAAATTCACGATTTTGAATATCCTTTAAAACAAGTAAAATAATATCAGTCGGCTTTGCAGACAGATGTATACCCTCAGCCTATGTTCGATTACTTGAATATATTTAGACTTGTGTTATAATTATTCAAACTGTTGACCCTGAATGTGCTAATATTGTCCATTTCGTATAGGACCTAAATATGATATGAATATTACGACTTTCCAGATTTGGACTATATCGACTACTTCCTTCACTTTGTATGAGATATGTGATCATTTTTATAAAATGTGGATGAGGTGCAAGACATAGTGGACCGAAGAATTCCATTTTCACACTTTAATACTGATAAAAACTGGTATATGCAAAATGGCAAAAAAATCTAATATTTATATCCAATTTTATGCGAAATCATAAATTCCATATTCATCTCACGTTGCTGGTTAAGAGAAATATTTAAATATAGCAAAATGTAAAGAATCCCTGACTTGTTTCACAAGTTATGAACAAGTTATAGGTATTGAAAAATGAGACCTACCATGTAAAACATATAAAAACGGCAGAAAAGTAGCTCTTTCGAAGACAAGCCTGGGCTCCAACCATTCTTATTATATTGTCTTGAGATAAAAAATTATTTGAAAAAGCCACAATTTTTTCTCTAATACCCTCTAAAATTCATGAAAATTCAAATTTTATCTCCAATTTGCTTCAAAAAAAACTTGAAAATTTAAAAAATTCATGATTTCCAAAAAAATATATATTTTTTGAAATATTAACAATTCTAAAACTGCTTGAAAAAATTAGGAAAAATCTCTGAAAATCCTCCTCCTCGACTTGAAAATTCATTAAAAAACGATGTTTTTATATCATAAAATGGTCCATACTTGCAACAGTTATATTTCGTTTCAAAGATTTCACAGAATGATCTTTAAACAATTCAAGATTTGGTTTCAAAGATCCCGAAAAAAATCCACAATCTCATCTAAAAAGATCCTCCTAAAATTTATTTAAAAATTTCACGATATGTTTTGATTTTGAAGAATCTTTGAAAAAATCCATTTTTTTCGAAGACTCGACTCAATCGCAAATACTTTTAATTTTTAGAGATTTTTCCAGACCGACCGAAAGCCACGCCGAACTTTCGATACCCCAAACTACCGATACCACCTAAAGTTACACTTTATTACCCTCTACCACCTGACGAAAATATTGACCTTCATGAGTATTTTTCTGTTATAGCCATTTAAAAATAACAGAGCTGTACGAAAATTGTCGATTTCTTTGAATTATTTATTTTACATTTTTATATAAAAAGGATATTAAGTTTTAGGTATTGAACATTGAGACCTCCATGTAAAACTTATAAAAACGACAGAAATGTTTCAAAGACTGTATGGTTAAACATACCAATGAACTCTTCACACAAACTTATGTGGCAGGACAAGTTGACAATCCCCAGTGCCTTTTAGGACAAATCTGCCGGTACAACATGGGTACCATTGCAAAGCTCATGAAGAATACTATCCTACAATGCGAAATGTGACTCCCAAAAGAAAAACAGAGAAATTTTCTCCATTGAAATCTGAAAGGCCAATTATTTGAAAAACTGGGGAAGGAGAGGCAATTCATCGAACATATACCATGGCGTAAACAAAATATCGAACTTATACATCAGAAAACTGAATAATTTTCGCGCTAGATTTTACATTCTTATTCTATTGCACTCTTTCTCTATTTTGAGTATTTCGACAACATTCCTATCTTTCAAACTGGAGTCACTCATGAACGGAGTTAACAACTCCTACTCTTCGAACTCTTCTACCTTAAATAGGATGTTTTATCCCCTGTTATTTACATTTTATAAATGTTTGAGCTTTACGTTTACTTTCCTATCAGAATTCTCCAAAAATCATTTCAGGCCACATGCCCATTCATTACATTATTGGAATCTTTGATTTTCTATTTGAGACTCATGTTTTATTTTCACTACATCTTCAAACCCTTAGCCGCATTCTACTTAATAATCAGTCTTCGTAATAAATATAAAAAATAACTAAATAATTTTGTGACCTGCCATGAAAGCCCCAATTTTAGATTTAAATAATTTTAAAATTATGTTAAAGAATTTTTTCGTACAATCAATTTTAATATTTTTATTTTCAATTTATTTTGATTTAGAATAGTATTAATAAATACAAATTTACAATTTTCAAATATATAAATATTATTAATAAATATTAATACTGCGGATTTAAGTATTAATCCGAAATTTTGAAAAAAAAATTAATATTTTATTTAAAAAATATTAACTTTTTTGCGATGGTTCGGTCTGTCGTATACGATATACAAATAATTTCTTTTTATTTACGATATTAAAAATGATTTATTAATATATTTTGTGAAAATTTTAATAAAAATTCTAATTCAATTCAAAAACATAATTTATTTTATATAAAATATTCAGTGTGCATCCTCATGCTTACGTTCTAATATGAGTCATACCTTAATAAATGGATACTCTAAATCAGCCACACATGTCCAAGACCCTCCCAACAACTGTAATCAGAGGTAACGTTTATTAATTAATATTTCACCTAAACGTTGACCTTTATTAATAATATATAATTAAATAATAGCACATTTTCATAACACGAACTCGAAAATCCAAATTCGGCGAAATTTAATAGAGAATATGATTCAAGCGTAAAAAACGCTTAAAACCGGGATGTACCTTCATGTAGGGACTATACTAAGTTTTTTAAGTTTACCCACATAACCTTTCTTTTGTTTTCGATATTTTGTCCTCCGATTATAATGATGTCTTCTGTCGGAGGACAAAATATCAACATTTCTA